GGGGAGGGAAATGGGAGGCTGGGAGGAGGCGGAAACTTTTTTTTCCTATTCTCAATAAAAAAAAATTGTTTTCATGGCCATTGTTGCCAAATACCTGATAATTTTATTAAAGTATAAGTAAACTCTCTTGTGGGAAAACTTTGTTACCTTGATCTGAGGTTACTGCCTACTTACTGCAGACGTTGTTCAAAGTCTATCTTCTTTATGTTTTATGTGAATAAAATGTCTTACTGAGATATAAATGCTGTCTCCTTCATATGTTTGAAAACTGACATATATTTTTGTATTTATTTTGTCTACCACTAGCAAAATTGGAAAATGATTATCCTATTTATATACTGTTTTGGTTTTTGACATTGTGACATTTTTTGATAGTCTAGAGACATCAGCATCCCAGCCATTTTGTTGAGACACAGGAATCCTCTAAGATTTTTAGTAACATTATTGGGATTTAGATTAAAACCATGAGAATCTAACATGCAAACTCAGGCTGCATCTATCCTTTGGGGCACCTTAGCCTGTAGAGATATTAAAATAAGTTTGTTTTCTGTATTCACAGTGGTGACTTCCAAAATGCAGGAGCAAATTAAATACCTAAATTGAAACGACATGTCTTAATAAAGTACAGCTAGGTAGGTTTATGAATATACAATGTGCTAGTATAGAAAAGCTAAGGATATTTCCCAAGGAAAACGAGTATACAAAGTCATAAGCACATTTTAGGCCCATTTATGTAAATAAATGATAAGAAAACAGGATCCGTAAATGCTGCAAGTCTATGCCTTTGTCTTGGCCTCTATATTTTTATTATGTTGAAAAACTCTGCAGTGTACAGATGGCCTTTGAAAGAAAGAGAATCATGCCCCCTGGCTCCTCCAAGGTATTAAAATATTAAAGGGAAAGGATGCCATATTTATATTCTGAGGCAAGAAAAATCTTTGTTACATTGTCATGGGGAAAAAGTACTACATTTTAGGCACATTGTAGATATAAACATGAGAAATAATACTTCTTTAATTTTGTTGCTGAATTTTAGAACAAAATGAAAATGTTCAAGTAATATAGGGATTTATACCATGGGTAGATATAATGACAAATGTATAATCAGGAAGACTTTTAACATCATCATTCACATTGGTGATCAAAGATTATCCCCAACTTTGTTAAAAAAAATAAAAACTCTGAGACAGTAGTCATAATTTGTGGACCAAGAAATTAAAGGAATCGTTTTATTGCTTATAATGGACTGTTGTGTAGAAGGTAAATGGAAGAACCAAAATTTATATATAAGACAAAAGCTTTGTACATTTAATGTTTTATGTGAAAATAAGGCATTGGAATAAACAAGAGTAGTATATTTTTTGAGCTCAATTTCTTCAATTTATACATCAGATAATTTGAAGGAAATCAGGAAAATACATTGGAAAGCTCCCCATGGGCAAACCAGAATACCACTAAGAATGTATTAAAAGAGGCAACAAACTTAATAAAACCAAAAAAAAAAAAAAAAGCAAATCAAGAGTTTTGCCTCCACCAAAGATAAGATAATGTCACAAACTGAAAATATGCTTGAAGATTCTTTGTACTATTCCAAAATAAAAGAGGTAGTGAAAGCATATTTTCTATCAGCAGTATAGTGCCTACAACATCGCAGCAGGGTATATGGAATGTGTGTTTGTGTGTGTGTGTGGGTGTGGGTGTAGGCCAAAGATCAATGTTTGATTTTTTCCTCAATCACTCTCTTATCTTTTGTGTGTGTGTGTGTATGATTTTTTTTCTCATTGAGGCTGGAACTTAATGATTTCCCTAGAGGGTAGCCAGCAAAGCCCCAGGATCTTCCTGTTTCCACCTACCCATCATTGGGATTACAGACACGATACTTGACTTCCAATATATATATATATATGGAGAGAGAGAGAGAGACCACAGAATAATCAAACATGATACATCTTTGAATACTTAACCTACATAATCTGACAATCATGTGTATATCCTTGTATTTGTACAATTGAGGAGGAGTACGTATGTATCCAGAAAACAGAAGGAGTTTAGAAAATATCTTACTTCTATTATTATTACTCTTCCTGGAAGAAGAAAATCTTAGGAAAAACCGAGCTATGCCTAAAATTTGTTACCAATCTTAGCTCACTGAATGGCGATTTATTATGAGCAATAGAGCAATGAAAAGGAAGAGATCGAATGTGTGTGTGTGTGTAAAACATCATTTATAAGATTATTCTGTCTTCATAATCTCATGAGGAAGAAGCTATTAGTTCTGTCATTTTGCACCTAATAAATATTGTTAATTATTCATTTTAGCCTTGCAAACTTGGGAAGTACATTACTGTTTACATGTTTTTATAATTAATGACAGCAGTATGATCTTCTCATGTAATTGGTCCATTTGTTCAGAAAGTTCCCACTGCTTGACTGATATGCTCTGTGCTTCCTCCTGCTGTGTCCCCACGGTCATGATGCTCAAAACATATAGAGTTCAAATTTATCTTGCTGTTGCCTTTCATTTCGGGTTACCATTTATTCATAAGCAAAAGACAAGGAAGCCTGATGTGGAAATGAGATTTTATATACATTAGTAAGAGTCGTTCTGTCAGAAGAACGACTTAATCTTTGGCACTATTTATGCAGGCATTCAAGGTGCATCCAGCCTTATTCTGTGTCAGAAATAGATCTTATATATTTTGCTAAATACTTGAAATAGCTAAAGGAATGTCTCAGCTTCCTGAAAAGCAGTTAGTTTATAAAGTTACTAAGGTTCAAGGTCTACAAACCTTTGTGGTCATTAGTCAATCAGAATATTGTATTGTTTTATCTCATGTCATGATGGATTTAGCTTATGCAAGGGACTACAGACTACATCATCATCATCATTGCCTTCATCCTTTCCTTCCTTTTCCTCTTCTCTGTATTTTCCTTCTTCAACATCTATCCCTGCAAAGATACAATGACATGGCCTGTTTAGGTCAGATTGTAACAATTATAGTCATTGCATGGTTCAAGCTTTGCTTTAGAAAATCGGGGTATTATGCAAACAGCTGTTGGGAATCTCTTTTCTCTTTCAAGTTCCCAAAAGTAAGTCTGTGACTTAGCTAAAGAATTGAAGTGCGAATGATGCCCATTTAAGAAGTCTTCAAACTAGGCCATAAGCACAACTTTTTAAACTTAAAAATGCATATAGGCAATAAACAGGTTGTATTTATGTAGTTCGGAACACACACACAGGAAAAGAGGCCAGGAATTTGAGAGAGAGCAAGTAGAGTACATGGGAGGGGTGGGGCAGAGAAAAGAGAAGGTGGAAATAATATAATTATGCTATAAGTTTTTTTAAAAAAACTATAAAATGTGTATTATTGAAGGTTATATTAGTGTACACACACATGGCTGCACACAGGTGCCACTGCACATATATGGAAGTCAGAGGACAATTCTTAGGAGATAGTTTTCTCCTTCCACTGTTTGCATGGATCTAACCCAAGTCATCAGGCTTGCACTAATAAGTATTTTTCATTTTTGGCCATCTCATTGGTCCCCTATGTATTTAAGAATAGATTGTCTGGGTTGAAATTCAGTGTTTCTTACTGATGAGAAATATCATTAAATCATAAGGATATTAATAATTTTGAAGGATTTTATTTAAATCAAATTAGTTTTCTCATTTTACATCCAGACCACAGTTTTTCTCCCTCTCTTCTCCTCCCATTCCTTCCCCCTACCTCCCCTCTGCCCCACACATCTACTCTTCTTCATTTCTATTCAGAAAAGGGCAGGCATCCCATGGATAGCAACAAAACATGGCATATCAAATTGCAGCAGTACTATGTGCTTACCCTTGTATCTTAATATTGGGCAAGGTCACCCAGTATGAGGAACAGGTTCCCCAAATCCAACCAAAATGTTTGGCTGGCTTTTGGAAGTTGGAAGGCTTTAAAATTATCATTTCATTCAAAATCGTGGCTGAGTTTTCCTTGACCCTATTGTGGAATGTTGAGACAATTTGCAATGTTTTTCTCTGAAGAGTGAGTTTATGATCAGTCCACCAAAAGGACAGGCAAGAAATCCAGTAGGCTGTTTTGTTAGGTCTAATAAAGGATTTGCCAGCAATCCATATTTCTCTATTGAGGGTAAAATGAAATTTCAGAGCTACTGCCAACTTGTTACTGTAATTTTGCTATTTTTATTTGTATCTTCTCACTCATTAAAATACTTATGTTTTAATTACAAACTGGGGAGCATTAGATTACATTGTTTTGTTTTAAAAACACTAAGGGTATGTTCTTTTTTTTTCCACGTTCTTATTTCCTTTTTGGCCCTTCTTTTACATTGCCTGTATGATAAAACTCTCTTTGCCTTGTAGCTATTCACTATTAGGATTGAGAGGGCCTTTCTCATCTGCTGATGTTCCTCTCTTTAAAGTAGGGAGTCAGTCACTCTAAGAAGATATGAATCATGTAGCTTGTTTGGTGGTATATCTTTGTCCAGAATCCCAGTAGCTCATGGACTTTTCTTATTCTTTTCTTTCTTTCTTTTTCCTCTATATCAATTCCCCTTGTGAATATAGAATTTACAGAGTGACATTTGAAGAAAACCAAGCAAGCCTTGCATGGGGAATTTTCTGGTTGACAACTTGAAATGATTGATAGTGCATATAGCAATATCATGTGTGTGTATGCGTGAACGTGTGTGTGTGTGTGTGTGTATGTGTGACTGTGCAAATGAGATCTTTCATCTATGAAAGGCAAATGGCTCTCCGTGGATACTTAGATGGTGTTCCATTGCAATATGCCTGAACACTCCATTCTTACTGTTAAAAATGCCACATACTATAGTAGAGTTATACTTGCTAATTATAATGTCTGTCACAGTGATCCTTTGATCTCTGACTCTGTGATGTTTCTCATTTGTGCTGACCTATTCCATCCTCTTTTGCTATTTTAGGTTTGTGTGCTGGAGAGGCAAATATTTGACTTCCTTGGATATCAGTGGGCACCTATCCTGGCAAATTTTGTACATATTATCATCGTCATCCTTGGTTTGTTTGGAACTATTCAGTATAGACCTCGTTACATAACAGGAGTAAGTATTCTACCTGCATTTACCTTCTCTACGGAACTGGAGTAAGATATACAACCTACAGAAGTCCTACAAACTAAATATGTATCCTGCTTTAAGAGTAGCATGATCTTAAATAATGTGTTTATTTTCATAGTTACAGACTACATCAATAGTAATTGAGTTTGATAATGGATATAATCATATTGTATTTTCATTAATTGCACTTTGGGCAAGTGTTTTCATATAATTACAAGCAGAATCATGATCCTATGTTTCTAAATTATCAAGTTGTGGCCTCTGAATTAAGAAAAGTTAATAAGATTGTTTTCTCATTTAAAATAACTCTGTCTCAAAAATTAGATAAACATGGCTTAAAACCACTGCAAACAACTATATACTTTTGATGTGAAATTTTTAATGAACATTATGGATAATATTTGAACTAGATGGAAGCTAGAATATTGTGGATCATTGTTTTTGTGTTGAGCATAATTCTCATTTTGGCTCAGAGAAAGTATTTGGTATTCCTATTCAAGTTAAACATACTTAACATAAAAGTGAAATTCAACTGTACTACAGTTGCTATGGGAACCATAACAGGATTTTTTTTCTTAACTTTATATGTGCCTCAGATTTCCACTGTCATTCTTCATTAATGTAGGGTTTTTGTTGTTGTTTTTGATTTTTCATGTTCAAACATTTTTGTCCATTCTACTTTTTTCAAGGATAAATATTTAGGGACTTATTTCAAATGTTAAACCATGTTAGTACAGCTTAAGATCAGTCCCCTTGGACTTGCATCACCAGGGCTTCTCAAGTTTCATGAAACTTCCTTCTCATAGAAGGTGTCCTTGTCTGGTCAGTGAAGTACTCATGAACACAGGACGCCCACTAGAACTGGGGAAGAATGTAAAAGAAGATGCATCCAAGAGGTTAAGTACCTTGCTAAAGATGAAAGAGTAGTTCACGGTCCATGAGTCCAGGAATGTGGTCTGAGAAAGAGTACGCAACATGTGTAGTGAGGTAGAAATCTACAATGTAAGAAGTGTTTTGTTGAATGCTAAAAATTTTCTATTTGAGTTGTGATAGTATTGTCCATTTGACAAATTATTACAAGCATTGAAATTATTTTTCTTAGGTTAACTTTCATTGTTCTTTGTTTCCTTTCTGGAACTGTACTTCTTTTTTCTAACTAGTCTCGACACCTTAGAGTGTGTGTGTATGTGTGTGTGTGTGTGTATGTAAGCAAGAGCGCACGTGCATGTGGTGTGTGTGTGTGAATGACAATGCCAGTGAATTTAATTAGGGTTTCTGGGAGCAGCACAGTCTATAGATACAAACGTAAATAATTGGGATGCATTTTGACATTGCATCCTAGGAGCAAAACAAGTTTACTAATATTTATCCTAGGACCTGTGAGTTCCCTCGTCAATGGCATTTCCCCAGGTTGACAGGATCAGGAATGCATTACCTAGTGAGGAATGCAACTCACATTCAATCAGAAAGATTTAGTTATTCTCATAATAACTATGCCACTATTGTGCCAATAAGTTTATCTTGTCTGTCAGATCAGTACTGCAGCATGCCAAGCCCACATCTGTTAAGACTCTAGATGACACTTCTCTTCCAGCAGCTGGCATTGTTGTTCTAGCACAATGAATTCTAGTTAGAAAGAGGGTGCTTGCTTTGTATTTCTGTGTCCCATAGCCAAAGTAAATAGTATCTTCATAGACATGGTCTTACGGGCAAATTTTGGTGGGCAACCAAGAACGATGGCAAGAGCCTCCATATTTTTGGCTGCCTCTGGCTCCTCCCTAACCAACAACTCATAGAGCTGTGTCTCATATTTGCCAGTGGGTGTCTGTTTAATAATTGTTGGCTTCTGAGGGAAGCATTATCCACTCATGTAGTATACTTTCATTCAAATTATCATTTATTTCTTAGTTTTTCTTTTTAAAAAAAAGCAATATTTTTTTAGTAGGCTCTTGAAATGATAAGTTTCCATATAGTATGTTTCAATACTAAGTTTTCATAATTATTAATTTTGGTTATCTCTGCCTCGCATAACTTTCTTTAACCCCATGGTAAACCAGTTTGCTCTAAGGTAGGGACTATAGCACAGTGGCTAGGAATGAACCAATTGAAGTTAAAATAGCAAGGCTGAAATCTTGAGTCTAATATGATATTTGTGTCTGTGCACAACTTTGTCTCATCTAGATTCAATATTTTTTGAAAATAGAAGCATCAATTATGTTTTTTCATGAGATTTTAGTTGATTTACTATCAACTATAAATGGAAAATGTGACTCTGTGCCTTTTGTGATTTTATTCCTATAATTAAAGTTGAATTCAATATCATTAAATAACTATCACATCTGTATTTATGAATAAATACTTGGGATGAAGACCAAAATGTCAACAATTTAAAAATGGAGAGGGAAGTGTTAGGTAAGAAGTAGGATAGTTTATGAAATACATTTATCACAATGCTTAGTATTCAATGGTGTTCAATGCAAATTAGCTATAACATTTTTCTTATTACTATTCAAAAGTAGCATTAAATAATGCATTGTAGCTCTAGCCTAGGAAGGAATGTAAAACAAAGAGATGGTTGAACTGTTTTCTGTGCCTTTCATTGTAAGTACTTTAAGACTACTCTGTATTCTGTTATAATCTTCCCTTAAGATGTAGATCTTTGTCTAATTGTGTGTTAGAAAAACTTGAAACCCTCTTGAGGTTCTGTGTCACAACTCATTTTCACACTCTTCCCTCATTTGCTCTTTCTTATAGGCAACACGCTGGGTTTGATTTTTTTCTGGAGAGACTGTCATTTATTGGGAATTATTTGCCTGTTGCTGATGCTAAATTTGTGCATTTTAACTCTGTTGACAGAGGCTGTTTGTTTATTCCCAGCTGCTCAGACACTAAATAATCACACAGAAACGATATTATTTGCAATACTCTTTGGCCAATAGCTTAAGTATATTTCTACCTATCTCATATCCTAAACTAAGCAATCTCCATTAGTGTGTGAATCACCACGAGGTCGTGACCTATCGGCAAAGTTTTGTTTCAGTGGATTCCTGCAACTGCTACTTGGCTTCCCTTTGATTCCACCTACTTTTTCTTCTGCTTGGAATTCCCACCTTGCCCTATACTGCTAAGCCACTGACAGAAATGGCTTTATTCATTAACCAATAAAAGCAACACATAGATAGTAGTATTTCCCACACCATAACTTTTAGAAAGTTCTGGGTTGGAAATATAACCAGAAAATCCTGCTTTACAATCCTTTTTTTCCCTTTAAGTTATTTCTCTCTTACAATCTCACGTCATATTCATCAAAAACATTGCAAATAGCTCTAACAACTGCTTCCTTGACAACTCTCTTAATCAGATGAGCATGTCCACATGTATTCCATCTGAGTTCTCAATTATTTCAGAATCTGGCCATGATCATTGTTCTCAGTATTTACAATGAGTTGTGTTTATAGCCCTAAAACACAATTTTCTCCTATCTCTACTAACCCTTTCTTCTCTTCTATGAGCTTTTCTCAAAACCAGCACTAGGTGTTGGAGTTATACTTTTGGAAATAATTTTAAAAGCTATCTATTTCTATGTAATTTCTTTGACTGAGGGTCCAAAAGTGGCTTCAGAAAAAGTAAGAATATAGCATAAAAATGGAATAAAATTACAGTTTGTCCAAAGAAGACAAAGAAATTGCAGTGGAAGAATCTTGAATGGAATCTTAAATGATAGGAATTCTACTTCAGGAAACATCTAAAGAAGACAAATGCATGATTAGACACTGTAGCTGACACTGATGCATCCGCTGCAGTCAAGACTGAAGGCTTAGATCATTTATTTAACTTTTCTTTTCTAATGATGTCCCTTTGTGGTTTTTATATTTGTCATTTTGTGTTTGTTATCAGTAGTTCAATATAAAATTAGGCAAGCTCATATGCTCATTTCTGACAGCTATTATAGACAGTTTTATGTTTTCTTTACATGTATATTGATGAAATGTATTGGAAAATTGAAAATTTTAATATATATCATATAGAATTTTTAAACTTTTGATTTAATATGAAGCTATAAACATATATTACATTGTTCATTTAAGCAATCTTAATTTTGAGGCTTATATCATCCATTCATATATTTTACTTATTATAATGTGTACAATGTTCTCCATGAAATACTTTTGTGTTTTTTATGAATTGCTCCTTATAATAAATAATAATACCCAATAATAAAAGTATATAAGCGGTATTAAGATATAACTGAGTTTCATATCCTAAATTGTAGTAAATTATTGTTTACAACAAGTGCACTGAATTCTTGTTAGTTCTGACAAACAAGTGGCTCATATTTGATATGAAAAATTTACTTATATTTAAAGTCCTATTTATCTTTATAGAAGTAGATTTTTTATGCTATTATTACTTGTTTTATGTCATTTTGAGGTGATAAATTTGGAATAGTTGTTTAATTGTTTTTTATGAATATTTATTTTAAGAATTTTTGGTAAGGAATATATTATTGTATAGAATATCAAATGATTTTCTCATATATTTATGTTATAAAT